AGTGAACGGCCTTAGTGGAGAGGCACACGATGACGCAAAGATAGGCCTTATGTGAACGCGCGTTACGAAGGTTATAGGCTCTAGACGAGGAAGGGGCCAGCAAAGTCTGTTCTGACTCCAGCGAATGGTCGGATGGCCCTGACGCGGTCGGGTGGCAAGTGACCCATCATAGGCTGCGATATGGTGGCCGTCAGTTTATAACAAGGTATGCACTTAAAGATGACGCTCCAAATGGTGCGTCGGCCAGCCAAAATCAAAAACTCCCGCTGGAGAATAGCCGAAAGAGCGTTATACCCAGCGTGGGCATTCTTAACATGATGGTGAGTTACCAGCAACCGAACAAAGGCGCCGTCCTTAGGGAGCAGTAACGATTGTCGAGGCCCGTACGGCAGTTGAGAATTTTTCAAACGTCCGCCAACGCGCAGCATCCCAGCGTCGTCCAGGAAGAGGTCCAGACGGGCCAGAGCACCCTTCACAACGGAGCCCCGCTTCAAGTTTTCAATCACGGGCTCAAAATGCTCCGCTTGGACCATACGGGTCCAATGCATCAAAGCTTCGCGACGCTCGCTAGGGGACAAAACGGAATCAGAGATTCGGTTGGACGGGTCTCTCTAATTGCGGACAAATCGACGAAACCAAGCAGTAACTCCTAAGAGCTTATCGAGAGAGCTGTATCGTTCTAGCAGGGAGAAATCCCGAGTGGGCTTATCCTTGCCCACTCCTACTCGGGCTCAGAGGCCAGGCAATTCAATCGGTTCGGAGTATTTATTCTGGGGCCAGAATGACTGAGACTCAGTCAACCAACTGGGACCCCACCACAGCGGGTGGTCAACCAACGAGGGGGCTTCACAGCCGCGAGAAGCGCAGTCTGCGGGATTCAACTCCCCTGGGAAATGTCTCCAGTTTAGAGACGTCACAGAATTCTGGATTTGAGACACGCGGTTCGCCACAAAGACCTCAAGATTGTGAGGTGCAGCTCTGAGCCAACAAAGTACTATCTCACTGTCCGACCAAGCGTAGACGTCCGTAATATCGATTACAGACTTCAAAGACGAGTGAACGTGGTTGAGGAGTCGCGTGAGAAGAGAGGCTCCGGACAGTTCCAATTTGGGGATAGTTAAGCGGGACCTAATGGGAGCAACCTTGCTTTTAGCAAGTACGAGATGGACGGAAGTATGGCCAGAAGGGCTCACAGTCCGCAAATATACGACAGCAGCATAGCCTTTCTCAGAGGCGTCGCAAAACCCATGCAAGGTGGCCCTGCATCTCCCTGGTGGGAGGAAGCTCCTTGGCATGGAGACCCGATTGATGTCCGGAAGAGAGGACACAATGGAGAGCCACTCTCGCAAGAGGGCACCGCTAATAGACTCGTCCCAAGCCAACCCGGATATCCAGAGCTTTTGAAGAAAGCACTTAGCCAAAAAAATTACCGGAGTGATCCATCCATTAGGATCGAAGGTGCGGGCTACTGTAGACAGCACGGAGCGCTTGGTCCATGCTTTAGAGTTTGACTCGATACGTGAAAGTATCCTGAACATGTTGATATTGAATGCCCAGCACAGTCAACAAATTAGGATTTTCAGGGTGCTCGAACAGATGAGGGTCCTGTTGATCCTCTCCTGGGAGGTCCTTCAAAATATGAGGGGAGTTCGACAACCATTTGCGCAACTCATAACCTCCGGACCGCAATCAATTCGTCTCGACCACTGATTGTCGAAACATCATCCGAATGTCGGCTACAAAAACCACTTGGTGCCGACGGAAGTGGGTCAAAATGTCGGATATGTCCTTGATCAATTTAGGACCAGAGTGGAGACACTGGTTCAAGGACACACCATATGACGAGGGGGCGGAGCCTTCAAAAACTACCAGAATCTTACCCCCAGGGGTCCTCAAGACCGCATGGTGAGGGAGGAAGTAGTGCTCCTGTGACCGCCAGTCGAAGTTGGACGGTGACATGTGAGAGCGTGTCAGCCGTCTGAGGAGGTGGAGACCACATATCCGGTCCAAAAAGGCTGTGCCCAAATACAGTGGACATGGCTGACAAGCCATAGGGCTGTAGGGCTCGTATCTCGCCTAACAAGATCGACCCCAGCGCGTCGGCCCCCAGTAACAAATCTATAGGCCCAGGTTGGGACCATTGAGGGTCTGCCGGTCTCAAACCCGACGCACAACGAACCGCGCTGTCATTTATACGGACGTTAGAGAGAAAGCCTACAATGTCATGGAGGACATTTACCTTAACTAGAATGTGAAGGTGTTCGCTGGCAGGGCCAAACATCAACTCCGCTTGTCCCCTAGGAGCAGGAGGCTCGGCACCTCCGATACCTACCATTGGACGTGATTCAGAGCTCCAGGGGAGCCCTAGTCTTCCCACCAACCAAGTGGAAGGCACACAGCGTTGTGAACCCGAATCCAGTAGAGCGCGAACTGTTAAACAGTCGCCACGCGGGTTGTACACCTTCACTGAGGCCGTCGGCAATAGAACAGTTTGACAAGTGGACTGTTGACGGCTCAAAGGCTCAGTGGAGGCGGCCGTGGTGGGAGCTAGGGCGGCAGCTACCTAGCTGGAGTTGCCTCCATCGGACCGGCACTCGAACCGGGGGTCCCGAAAGCGGCATTCCGGCGGCATCTCAACGACCCGTGATTGCCACTCACCAAATGGGCCGACCTGACTTGCCCGTCGGATTTCGCCTTCCCCTGGGCACGGCTCGGTCGGCAACCCGCAGGTCCTCGACGGCGCCTGCTGCGTTCTCCATTTGCCGGCACTGCTCCTCCAAGAACCGCAGCAGGTCCCTGAAGGGCGGAATATAGGAGGCGCCGTCCCCGCCGTACCTCTCCTCAAAATGGAGCCGAAGATCGAGAGGCAGGCGGGACAGCACAATGTGGAGCAACAAGAAGGACCATTCGTCCACCGGTAAATCCAGCCGCCTCAACGAGTTACAAGCCACCACGACTGGATTTACGATGTCCTGACGTAGTCTGGTCCGGTCCTTAAGTAGCGGGAGGTTTATAAGCTGCCTAACGTATTCGTCCGCAATCCGCCGGACGTTGGCATACCTACCGGCGAGGAGGTCCTGAGCATTCTGGTAGGCGTCGTCCGACAATTTCAAATGGCCGACGACGCCCAGGGCCTCCCCCTCCAATGATGCCAGGAGGTACGCCATCTTTTGGCTTGGTGTCAAGTCCCTCCGGGCGTCCACTAGGCTATCAAACAGACTGACGAAAGTCAGCCATTCGGAGAGGACCCCGGACAACCTTGGCAGGTCCAGAGTCGGAAGTCGTCCTAACAGCTCCGGCTGAGTAGGCTGCTTCGGAGGGGACTCGGGCAGGCCCCTCAGCCGAGCTTCACGCGCTTTATTAGCATACTTGGCCCCAGCCTCGATCAAGTCGTCCGTGAGCGAAAAGAACTGCTCGTAGTCCGCGAGGCAGGAGTCCAGGACTCCCTTTTCCGCATTCGAGGCCTCGAGCTCCGCGTAAGCCTCCTCCACTACGGCCCTTCGAGCATCGACCTGCTCGAGCCGCTTCCCCAAACTATAGACCTTATCCTGTCGACCTATTAAAGTATGGGCACTAGCGGCCCAGCGCAGCTCCGCCTTCAGGCGACGAATTGGTAGCTTGTGCGATGGCATCATTACTAAATACAAATTACTACGCGGCACAAATACAAATCAAATTAACAAACAAAAAATACAATTACTACAAATACAAATTACTGTTTATTAAATTAAATACAAATTACACTACAAATACAATTACTATCAAATCAAGTTAAATGCAAATTACACTACACGGCAAGTACCCACTACAATCGGTCAGCAAAGATGCCTCGCTCAGGCGCCCGAACCTTCGACAATTTAATCCCTAACAAAACAAAGAAAAACAAAAAAGGAAGAAAAAGGAATATTTTAATTTTTATAACACGGCCGAGGGTAATTGGAGAACAATTAACCACGCTGCCTGCTACCAGATTGTACACGCCCCTAGCTGCCCCAACAAAGGTTGACGGGACTAGGGCCCATGAGTAATCCCATCGACAGACAACAAGAGACGGGGCCCAACGGCCTATGGTGACTTATTATTCTACACAATAGATGTAAGGCTAGGTAATTAATTCGACTTACTTGGTTCAGGAGCGAAGACTGGCCACCAGGCTCGGTCAGGCGGGAGGTGTGCGTGTATGTAAGTGGTGTTTAGTGGGGTGTAAAATCTGAAACCTGACTTTAACCCTTTAAATCAGCAGCAGCTCTGACTCCGGCACCGCCACACGGTGTGGTATCCTCCAGCGGCGTTACCTCGATGTCACTCAAAGTTTAGCGTCCCTTACCAGAAATCTATAATCTAATACGAACGCTATTTCTCGCGGGTCACAAAGTTTAGCGGTTTTAACCAACACAAGAAAAATGTCTACGAACTATATCAAATGCCACAAACCTACTCGTCGACGCAAATTAATATTGTCAAGGCACTTCAACCGGCAATCACTATACAATTTACGTAAATTACTTGCCAACGAGTTTAAGTTAATCAATCAAAATATTACTGCTTCATTATCGCGCGAACGCACTAAAGATAACCAAACTAGAAGCGAAAACTCTAATAGTAAATTCTACACGTTCTATCGACCGGCAGTTGTTCACATCTAATCTCTCGACCCGTCTCGATCGACCGATCACGATTGGAATGCGGCCGGAGAGGGGCCGGCCGTGACCTTCGTACCGTGCTATGCACGCGCCGAGTCGCGAGTTATGAATTCAATTTTCAAAAGGTTAATTTTTGGCCTAAACAATTATCTTTCCGTCCGAATGCAATCTGGGCGTCTTCAAGGCAAGAGTGAATAGGCTTTTGTTACGCTAAGACAGTGCAATTTACCATCTAAGGCTGCATTACCACTTACCACCAGGTGGGATTGTGGTCAAGCACTGGTTCATAATAAGAAAAAAATTAAAACTGTTTATACTCGTATAATCGATTTGTTTTAAAGAAAACTCATGTGTGTATATCTTAAATTATTTATTTATTTATACATTCATACAATGATAGTTTTAAAAAAGTATTTACAATTTGAAATAAGGGTACTGGAACTGTACAATTCATGATGTGATTAATGAAACACATACTTTGTATTACTGAAAAATATCATGATACACGTATTGTTAATTATTTTCAATATAGTTTTTGTGTACATATAATAAACAGCATAATTTGAAACGTTCTATTATAAATAATTTATTCTTTTTTTAATCTGTGATATGGCAATAACATTATCAATGTTTAACTTAGTAATACTAAAAGGAACAGATATTATTTTTATTATTCAATATTTCATAAATATACACATACTCGTATCTGTTATAAAATATAAAACAAAACAGATTAGTCCAAATAATTTTAAAATATATTTGTTGGTCTTTACATTTATTAATTACTAAAATAAATGCACTGAGCAGACTATAGCGTATTTACAATTTTCAATTACATCAAAGTATTTTGTAGCATTTATACCAGTTAACTAATTCATTCTATAATTAACTATTACTATTTAACTGGCCTGTGAAAATATATCTGAAAAGAAAAAAATATAATTAATTTTTTCCTATTTTATGGTATGGCTACAAGGCCTTCAGCCAAAAAGAACCTAACGCTAATCTACGAAAAATACTTATATCAAACGCTTTTTGAAATTCTTGAAAATATAAATATTTTAACTTATTTTTTCTAAGATTTCAAAAGCAGCTCAAGCCAACAGAGTGTCGATAACTTATTTTTAAGTTAGGTGTCTACGAGTCTCGTAAGTGGACTAAATAACTTGAGGTTTATATCACCACCGTAGTACTTTACTCGTATGCACCAATAGTTCATGGATAGACATTTTATGCACAAAATCGCACCACTTTTACCGATTAATATCTATTTTAAACCATGATTTTAACATTAATACAGAATTGAAATCCGCCAGCGATTATGTCCCCGCTAAAATTTCCATAATTTAAATAATATTTATTACATAAAATACAAAATTATTACAGGTATTAGCCAGGAATATCATAAGGGTCGATAGAAAAGCATAACTAAAACTAACTAACCCTACAATGTTAAAAGACAAAATGTTATCAAAGCGAGTGCAATGTGGATATAAATGCGTGTGCGAGTGTGTACGTGTGTACGCACGCACCGTGTGTACGTATATCTACGTGTGGATGTACGTGTGTACGCACCGGGCGAGTTGGACGCGCAGGCAGCGCAGAGTGGTGCGAGGCGCGGCGTGCGTGTGTATGTGTGTGTGTACGTGTATCTACGTGTGGATGTACGTGTGTACGCACCGGGCGAGTTGGACGCGCAGGCAGCGCAGAGTGGCGCGAGGCGCGGCGTGCGTGTGTATGTGTGTGTGTACGTGTATCTACGTGTGGATGTACGTGTGTACGCACCGGGCGAGTTGGACGCGCAGGCAGCGCAGAGTGGCGCGAGGCGCGGCGTGCGTGTGTATGTGTGTGTGTACGTGTATCTACGTGTGGATGTACGTGTGTACGCACCGGGCGAGTTGGACGCGCAGGCAGCGCAGTGGCGCGAGGCGCGGCGTGCGTGTGTATGTGTGTGTGTACGTGTATCTACGTGTGGATGTACGTGTGTACGCACCGGGCGAGTTGGACGCGCAGACAGCGCAGTGGCGCGAGGCGCGGCGTGCGTGTGTATGTGTGTGTGTACGTGTATCTACGTGTGGATGTACGTGTGTACGCACCGGGCGAATTGGACGCGCAGGCAGCGCAGAGTGGCGCGAGGCGCGGCGTGCGTGTGTATGTGTGTGTGTACGTGTATCTACGTGTGGATGTACGTGTGTACGCACCGGGCGAGTTGGACGCGCAGGCAGCGCAGAGTGGCGCGAGGCGCGGCGTGCGTGTGTATGTGCGTGTGTTCGTGTATCTACGTGTGGATGTACGTGTGTACGCACCGGGCGAGTTGGACGCGCAGGCAGCGCAGAGTGGCGCGAGGCGTGGCGTGCGTGTGCATGTGTGTCTGTACGTGTATCTACGTGTGGATGTACGTGTGTACGCACCGGGCGAGTTGGACGCGCAGGCAGCGCAGAGTGGCGCGAGGCGTGGCGTGCGTGTGCATGTGTGTGTGTACGTGTATCTACGTGTGGATGTACGTGTGTACGCACCGGGCGAGTTGGACGCGCAGGCAGTGCAGAGTGGCGCGAGACGCGGCGTGCGTGTGCATGTGTGTGTGTACGTGTATCTACGTGTGGATGTACGTGTGTACGCACCGGGCGAGTTGGACGCGCAGGCAGCGCAGAGTGGCGCGAGACGCGGCGTGCGTGTGCATGTGTGTGTGTACGTGTATCTACGTGTGGATGTACGTGTGTACGCACCGGGCGAGTTGGACGCGCAGGCAGCGCAGAGTGGCGCGAGGCGTGGCGTGCGTGTGCATGTGTGTGTGTACGTGTATCTACGTGTGGATGTACGTGTGTACGCACCGGGCGAGTTGGACGCGCAGGCAGCGCAGAGTGGCGCGAGACGCGGCGTGCGTGTGCATGTGTGTGTGTACGTGTATCTACGTGTGGATGTACGTGTGTACGCACCGGGCGAGTTGGACGCGCAGGCAGCGCAGAGTGGCGCGAGGCGTGGCGTGCGTGTGCATGTGTGTGTGTACGTGTATCTACGTGTGGATGTACGTGTGTACGCACCGGGCGAGTTGGACGCGCAGGCAGCGCAGAGTGGCGCGAGACGCGGCGTGCGTGTGCATGTGTGTGTGTACGTGTATCTACGTGTGGATGTACGTGTGTACGCACCGGGCGAGTTGGACGCGCAGGCAGCGCAGAGTGGCGCGAGGCGTGGCGTGCGTGTGCATGTGTGTGTGTACGTGTATCTACGTGTGGATGTACGTGTGTACGCACCGGGCGAGTTGGACGCGCAGGCAGCGCAGAGTGGCGCGAGACGCGGCGTGAGTGTGCATGTGTGTGTGTACGTGTATCTACGTGTGGATGTACGTGTGTACGCACCGGGCGAGTTGGACGCGCAGGCAGCGCAGAGTGGCGCGAGGCGTGGCGTGCGTGTGCATGTGTGTGTGTACGTGTATCTACGTGTGGATGTACGTGTGTACGCACCGGGCGAGTTGGACGCGCAGGCAGCGCAGAGTGGCGCGAGGCGTGGCGTGCGTGTGCATGTGTGTCTGTACGTGTATCTACGTGTGGATGTACGTGTGTACGCACCGGGCGAGTTGGACGCGCAGGCAGCGCAGAGTGGCGCGAGGCGTGGCGTGCGTGTGCATGTGTGTGTGTACGTGTATCTACGTGTGGATGTACGTGTGTACGCACCGGGCGAGTTGGACGCGCAGGCAGTGCAGAGTGGCGCGAGACGCGGCGTGCGTGTGCATGTGTGTGTGTACGTGTATCTACGTGTGGATGTACGTGTGTACGCACCGGGCGAGTTGGACGCGCAGGCAGCGCAGAGTGGCGCGAGACGCGGCGTGCGTGTGCATGTGTGTGTGTACGTGTATCTACGTGTGGATGTACGTGTGTACGCACCGGGCGAGTTGGACGCGCAGGCAGCGCAGAGTGGCGCGAGGCGTGGCGTGCGTGTGCATGTGTGTGTGTACGTGTATCTACGTGTGGATGTACGTGTGTACGCACCGGGCGAGTTGGACGCGCAGGCAGCGCAGAGTGGCGCGAGACGCGGCGTGCGTGTGCATGTGTGTGTGTACGTGTATCTACGTGTGGATGTACGTGTGTACGCACCGGGCGAGTTGGACGCGCAGGCAGCGCAGAGTGGCGCGAGGCGTGGCGTGCGTGTGCATGTGTGTGTGTACGTGTATCTACGTGTGGATGTACGTGTGTACGCACCGGGCGAGTTGGACGCGCAGGCAGCGCAGAGTGGCGCGAGACGCGGCGTGAGTGTGCATGTGTGTGTGTACGTGTATCTACGTGTGGATGTACGTGTGTACGCACCGGGCGAGTTGGACGCGCAGGCAGCGCAGAGTGGCGCGAGGCGTGGCGTGCGTGTGCATGTGTGTGTGTACGTGTATCTACGTGTGGATGTACGTGTGTACGCACCGGGCGAGTTGGACGCGCAGGCAGCGCAGAGTGGCGCGAGACGCGGCGTGCGTGTGCATGTGTGTCTGTACGTGTATCTACGTGTGGATGTACGTGTGTACGCACCGGGCGAGTTGGACGCGCAGGCAGCGCTGAGTGGCGCGAGGCGTGGCGTGCGTGTGCATGTGTGTGTGTACGTGTATCTACGTGTGGATGTACGTGTGTACGCACCGGGCGAGTTGGACGCGCAGGCAGCACAGAGTGGCGCGAGACGCGGCGTGCGTGTGCATGTGTGTGTGTACGTGTATCTACGTGTGGATGTACGTGTGTACGCACCGGGCGAGTTGGACGCGCAGGCAGCGCAGAGTGGCGCGAGACGCGGCGTGAGTGTGCATGTGTGTGTGTACGTGTATCTACGTGTGGATGTACGTGTGTACGCACCGGGCGAGTTGGACGCGCAGGCAGCGCAGAGTGGCGCGAGGCGTGGCGTGCGTGTGCATGTGTGTGTGTACGTGTATCTACGTGTGGATGTACGTGTGTACGCACCGGGCGAGTTGGACGCGCAGGCAGCGCAGAGTGGCGCGAGACGCGGCGTGCGTGTGCATGTGTGTCTGTACGTGTATCTACGTGTGGATGTACGTGTGTACGCACCGGGCGAGTTGGACGCGCAGGCAGCGCAGAGTGGCGCGAGGCGTGGCGTGCGTGTGCATGTGTGTGTGTACGTGTATCTACGTGTGGATGTACGTGTGTACGCACCGGGCGAGTTGGACGCGCAGGCAGCGCAGAGTGGCGCGAGACGCGGCGTGCGTGTGCATGTGTGTGTGTACGTGTATCTACGTGTGGATGTACGTGTGTACGCACCGGGCGAGTTGGACGCGCAGGCAGCGCAGAGTGGCGCGAGACGCGGCGTGCGTGTGCATGTGTGTCTGTACGTGTATCTACGTGTGGATGTACGTGTGTACGCACCGGGCGAGTTGGACGCGCAGGCAGCGCAGAGTGGCGCGAGGCGTGGCGTGCGTGTGCATGTGTGTGTGTACGTGTATCTACGTGTGGATGTACGTGTGTACGCACCGGGCGAGTTGGACGCGCAGGCAGCGCAGAGTGGCGCGAGACGCGGCGTGCGTGTGCATGTGTGTCTGTACGTGTATCTACGTGTGGATGTACGTGTGTACGCACCGGGCGAGTTGGACGCGCAGGCAGCGCAGAGTGGCGCGAGGCGTGGCGTGCGTGTGCATGTGTGTGTGTACGTGTATCTACGTGTGGATGTACGTGTGTACGCACCGGGCGAGTTGGACGCGCAGGCAGCGCAGAGTGGCGCGAGACGCGGCGTGCGTGTGCATGTGTGTGTGTACGTGTATCTACGTGTGGATGTACGTGTGTACGCACCGGGCGAGTTGGACGCGCAGGCAGCGCAGAGTGGCGCGAGACGCGGCGTGCGTGTGCATGTGTGTCTGTACGTGTATCTACGTGTGGATGTACGTGTGTACGCACCGGGCGAGTTGGACGCGCAGGCAGCGCAGAGTGGCGCGAGGCGTGG